TTACCTGAGGTGGTCAGGGAAGGCTTCTTTGAGGAGGTGACATTTGAGCTGAGACCTGGAGGATGAAAAGGAAGGGGTGGGAACGGGAAGTGCAAAGGCCCTGAGGCAGGCAGGAGTATGACATTTTTTAAGAGGGAAAGGTAGTGGGGGTGGCTAAAGCATAATAAGTGAAGGACATAGGAGACGAGATCAGTGAGGATGGGGCAGTTTCTTCAGGGCTTTGTCCTCCTGTGGGCAGAGTTTGGGTTTTTTTTCTGAGAATAATGGAGAAGCCCATGGAGAGTTTTAAGTAGAAGACTGACATGATATGATCAACCCTCCTGACTCTCCACAGTTATCTTTCTGGGCCCTTATTTCTTCCTGCTTGTCTGTTTCTTCATTCTTTCTGTTCATCCATCCATCTAGCCATCCGTCATTCATTCTCCCTCCCATCTACCCAGTTATCTCTCCACTTATCAACCCATCCACTCATGTCCCCTGCCACCCACCTACTCACCAGCCTTTCCAGCCACATGTCATTTATTTGTCTGGAAAATCATCCATTTATCCATTTACTTTTCATTCATTACCTACCCACTCATATGTCCATCTATTCATCCTCTCATCCATCCATCCATCCATCCATCCATCCATCCATCCATCCGTCCGTCCGTCCGTCCATCCATGCAGCTTGTGGTAGGGCCTGGGGCCTGGTCACACCCACCTCTATGCTGTTGGTCATGGGGAGAAGCATGAGGCCTCAGCAGAACCCCCAGGGCTGTGGACCCCTAAGCTTTGCTCCCCTGTGGGAGGTTTTAGCTGCCATTCTTGGGAGTGGGTGGGGCTAGGCCAACTTAGTGCCTGTCCCTGGAGTCCCAGGACTGGGGAGGTCCTCTCACCCGCATCTTATATTCCCGGCAGTGAGTTTGTTGCGTGGCTCTTGGAAATTGGTGAAATCAGCAAGACTGAAGAAGGAGTCAACTTGGGCCAAGCCTTGCTGGAGAATGGTATTATCCACCATGGTGAGTGGGGGGCTGGGCCCAGGTGAGCCGAGGGGTGGGAACAGACCCCTCCCGTGCTGCGCTCCCCCTAACTCAGAAGCCATTACTTCACTTGCGTGCAGCCGCCCTGTTCCCTGGGCACGACGGGACCCCAGGAACATGGGTGCTCTCGTAAAATTAACTGCTCACGGTGCTGGAAGACTCAGCTCTCGCCTGGGGCACCAGCAAAGTGGGAACAAACACCTCGAAAAGGTCGGGGCAGGGGAGTGGAATTTTATATCTGTTCCTCCAGAAAAAGCAGGGACCATTCGTTTAAGTTGATTGAGAGCCTGTTCTGTGCCAGGCACCGTCCACACAGTGGTGAACGGGACAGATGAAACTCTTGTCCTCATGGGGCCAAACTTCTAGTTGTGGGGAGAAAATAGTAAACAAGATAAGTAGACAGCCAGCGCAAAGTCCCCAGGACAGAGTATATAAGTGGTTTGTTCAAGGAGCAGCAAGGAGGCCATGGAGTGGGCAGGGGAAGTGTTGGAGATGCGGTCAGAGGGCACTAGGCCAAGGGGAGCGTTTAGGGAATGAGGTCCAGGACCTTATAGGGGGATGGTAGGGTCTGTGGCTTTACTCTGAGTGAGGTGTGATGCCATGGCTGAGTTCTGAGTAGAGGAAAGACTTGCCCCGGCTCAGACTTCAACAGGGTCCCTTTGGCTCCCATGTGGAGAGTGGACTGTTGTGCCGAAGGGTGGTAGCGGGGTGCCCAGTGAGGAGGCAGCTGTGATATTCCAGGCGGGAGAGGAAGGTGGTTTGGGCCGGGCCGGGAGTGTAGAGTCAGATTCTTAGTTTTGAGGAAGAGTCTGCAGGATTTCCTGATGGATCCAGTGTTGGAGGCGAGGGGAAGAGAGAACCACCAAGGGCAACTCAAGGCCATCGTGTAGATGGCTGCATCCGGCCCCACGATGTGGCCTCAGACCCACCACACTCAGTCCCAGCACATGCTCTGGTGACCTCGCTCCAAGCAGATGCTGGGCTGGTTGGGTCCCAGCACAGGCTGGATCAGGGCCATTTCTAGGCCTCTCACGAGACCTGCGGATGCCTCAGCCCCAAGCCGCAGGTCTCAGCAGGGCCCCTCACGTGGCGTGGGCAGGGAGTGCAGTGAAACTGCGCTTGGCCACTGAGTGGAGGGTGATGGTGGTCGGCGTGGGTCAGGAGGGGCCGAGGGGGTGTCCCAGCATCACCGTCCCCCTGGGTCCCGTCCCTCCAGTCTCTGACAAGCACCAGTTCAAGAACGAGCAGGTGATGTACCGTTTCCGCTACGACGATGGCACCTACAAGGCCCGCAGTGAGCTGGAGGACATCATGTCCAAGGTAGGGAGTCCCCCATCCCGACCCCACGACCCTCACCCCTCGGTCACTGCAGAGAGGGCCTGTGCCCCAGTGGCCCGTTCTCCTCCTCCACTGCCCTCACCAGCTCCCTCCCCGCCTCCCCCCACCTGTCCTGTCCTGTCCTGTCCTGTGAGCCAGCTCTCCCCGCAGCCTGGACTGGGAGGCCCACGAAGGATGCGGCCTGATTCCAGACTCCGTTTTTTTCTTTCAGGGCGTGAGGCTTTACTGCCGTCTTCACAGCCTCTACACCCCTGTGATCAAGTAAGTTACTCTCTCTCTAGGCTTCGGTTTCACCTCTTCCTCTTTCAGCTGTGTGGCCTTGAGCTGGTCACTTAACCTCTCTGACCCACAGCTTCTTCTCCATCCGATTGGGCTAAAAATTGAACCTACCCTGTAGGTCTATTGTTAGGGCTCAGTGACGTAATTTTGGGGAAACACCGCAGCGTAGTGGTGAACGGTGTCAGTTCTGGAGCCCGACAGGCTGAGTTTGAATCTCAGCCTGCTGGTGACCGGCTGCGTGACCTGGGTGGCCACTTCACCTCCTCGTACCTCCGCTTTTTCCTCTGTGCAGTGGGGTCTTTGCGCTTGCTGTTCCCTC